AAATGCGAAAGATCGAAAGAAATATAGAAGGAATAACTATTCATACGGTTCTTATGATGAACCATGTACAGTAGAGTTTGTAACATAAGCACATCAGTTTATTGCTTTGTACGAATTAGAAAACATTAAATTTCCAGGAAACAAGACTTAAACAATGCTCTAATAGAGGAATGGAAGAAGATCCCACCCCGAATAACATCGACATTTAGATAATTTACCTATTAAAACCAATTGCCTAGAAAAATTGCAATAATTACAAAATCGAAAGGAAAATCCCACGAAGTATTAATTATTTATGAATTAATGTAAATTTCGTTTTTTTTATGATGTTTTAAAAATTTATTGTATGAATATTGCTTCTATATTTCTATCGATTTATTGTTTTTTCTTGTTAATTTCGCAACTTATATAAATAAGTAACTTTTTTATACTGTATTTGTTCTAGAGTTTTCCAAGAATATGTAGAATATCATTGTTTATAAAAAAGAAGTTAATAGATTACAATTTCACATAATCTTTTTGGAAATTGATCGGTGTACGAATACTTTCTACACACTCATATTTTCGACATCAAGGAAATAGTACTCCTACGCTAATTATGGTCAGGCTGAGTTTTCAATAAAAAATTCAAAAGGGACTCGAGCCTAAAAGGAACGTTCCTAAATGAGGAATTCATTCAATAATAAATCATTCGAACGAATAATTTTTGCGTGTTCTATTAAATTAATCGAGTCGAGTTACATTTATAATATACGTACGAAAAATGTTGAGGCCGAGGCTCGGAAGAGACGCAGATACCAGAAACACGAAACACTCACAAAATCACAAACACAAGCACACGTGAACATTGGCACACGCTGCGCTACACGTTAGCGCTACGAAACATCGTCCAAACGCGACGGAAGCACAAATCCGACTGATCGGGGAACAATGACCAAAGTGTCGACGATCCGAGCCGATGGAATCCGTAAATAACCGAATTTCGGCGACAAGATTACGCGATGCGCGGTTATTCGCGAAAACGTAAACAGCAGCACGCGAGGAACGCACGGACCAACGTGATCGAAGGTAAGTGACCTAGGTAGGTATTCGAGGAAGTTTGCTGTGACCACCAATTCCAAGAAGGAACAAGTTGAAAATAGAGGGGAAACGAAGGACAATAGACGGTGAAAGTTGGAACTACCGCGAAAAGAGTGAGCAGCTTCGCCATTAGGACTTCAATACTTTTCAAGCACAATTAGTACATACAGTGGCTGTAGAATGTATTCGTACACCGATCAATTTCCCAAAAAACTTTTCTGTGAAATTGTAGTTTCTTAACTTCTTTTTTTATAATCAATGATATTTTACATATCCTCGGTAATCTCTAGAATAGATATAGTCCGAACAACATTTATTAGTTAATATAATTTGTGAAATTGATAAAAAACTGCGAAATGTGGGTAAAAGTATAGAAGCAATAAGTATTTGTACGATTCTTATGACAAACCATTTACAGTAGAGTTTTTAACGTAAACACATTAGTTTATTGCTCCGTACGAATTAGAAAACATCAAATTTCCAGTAAAGTATTTTTAAAAATGGCTCTAATAGAAAAATTGACGAAGATCCCACTTCGAATAACTAATAATTTAGTTAATTTAACGTTTAGAAGAGTTGCAATAATTATAAAATCAAAAGGAAATCCCACGAAGAAAGTATCATATACTTGTAAATTAATGTAAATTTCTGTTTTTTTTTTAATGAAATTTAAAAAATTAAACAGTTGTGTGAATAGTTATTGCTTCAACATTTCTATCGATTAATTCTTTTTTCTTGTTAATTACGCAACTTACATGAATAGCTATTTTTTTTTTTGTACCCTATCTATTCTAGAGATTTCCGAGAATATGTAGAATGTCATTGTTTATAAAAAATAAGTTAATAAAGTACAATTTTACATAGTTTTTTTTTAAATTGATAGGTGTACAAATACTTTCTACATCCACTGTAGTTCAAAATAATTTGAGGAGTTGGAGAAAGTGGCGGTTTCATTGTTCGCGAGGCCTTTAGCAACAAATCTTGTGTAAAAGAAGGCCGGCCTTCAACTAAGGGCATGATACATATTTGTATGCTTTTGATATAACAAGCGATTTATTGTAATTTTCTCTAGACAAATATTTTAAAAATTATAACATAATGAAGAAAAAGAAACTTGTCTAAATGTTAAAATATTATTGGTGAATTGAAATGATAAAATATTATTAGTGCAATTAAAAGTGAGCATGACAACATGACAAGTTGTTACTAATTTAGTAAAATTAATTAAATTAGTTCGCCTTTTTTCGTTCACCATTACCAATCAATACCAGCTTTCCTTGCAACACACATGCTTGAATTCATATAAAATAACTTTTTAGAACAAATTTAAATTTTAATGTACTCTAAATTTTCGTATTGTTAAGGTGTATTAAATACTTCTACAGGGAAAGTAACTTAACAAATTTGACGTAACGGTCATAGACGTAACATTCACTGTGTAGAACCGCCACTGGATGGCGATTTGGAAAATGAAGTAAATACATAGTTTATGAAAAATAAATTAAATAATAGAAAGGAAAAATGTAATACATATATTGCTCAGAACAGGTTCCAGAACTTCGATGGTGTATAATGTGTCTCGTAGAATGATGCAACTTTCCTATTGCACATACTACACATTAATAATATTACACATTAGTAATACTTACACATACTATGATATACTTCCTACTATCATATTTCTTACTCTCGTCACAATTTGCAGATCACGTAATATACGGGCAATATAAACAATATATACACAAAACGTTTGCATTATGTTTATTGTAATTAATTCAAAACTTTTTGCTTTTAACTGTCTTTGATAAATTTTTAATAATATTCATTGAATATATACAAAACTCTTTAAGGAAACCACTCGATAAATTGTAAAGCTCTCACACTAATAAAGAAACTATATTTACTGCACTCTATATTATAAATTATGTGATGCAAAATTAAGATATTGTAAAAGTTCAAGTAAGATATTCGTATAATTTTTCCCAAGTGAAATTTAAACACTTGGAAAAACAGACACACTTGGACAAATTGGAACACTTGTTAAATGAAACTAATTAAATATTCAAAATAGTATAAGAAAAACATTCGTACAATTGTTTACCTTCAATAATAACTATATTAACACCTTGTTGACAGTGTCATAACCATCGGAAAATCCTTTATATTTCTAGAATATAAAATTATTAAAAATAATTCGGAAATACAAATTTAGAATATTTCGAATCCATTAATATACATTCATAGTTATTTTTATCCAATTTAATTCGGAGTCCTTGTGAATATTAAACCACGCATATTTCATTATAAAAATGAAATCGCATATATTCTTTTCTAATTAAAGCGATACTCCGAAACAGCTTTCATTCATGTCGATAATTGATAACAAAAGCATCAAAGGGAAGAAGTATTGAAACGAAAACGTGTTTCATTTATTTTGTTTACCCCATTTTGAAACTTTCTGTATGCACAACAGATTTAATTAAATTGATTTTAATTGGATTAAAGTAAACATTTAATTTTCTGATGAAAACAACAGAGAAAATAGAATATTATACAATAAAGTGAAGATGATAATGTTCAGTGATACGTAAGATTATTCTTTAAATGTATTTCACCGCACTTTATATATACAACACACACTTCTTTAGAGGCATTCAAAAATGCTTTTGCTTTAATCAATTGCTTTTAGAACAAGTTTCAGTGCAGTCGATAAAACTTGTCTTCTATCGATAGCACTGACAGTATCAGCACAAGACGCGTGAAAGTGTAATTCACGAAAACATAGTTTTTCTTAAGGCGCTTGGAACATCAAAAAATGAAAAAAAAAATCACTTTTTTTTTATACAAATTTAAGCGATTCTGAACAATTCTACGCAAAGAAAATTGAATTTGGAGCACTAGAGGTGTTAATTAAATTTTTTTGATAAAAGAAATGGAATTTTTTTTTTACAAAATTTCTTTTTGTTAACCGCAGAGACGCGGCTACCTTGGTTACAACCATAGAGTATTGTTTTTCCGGATAAAGAAGGCGGTAAATTATCAAAAAGGCAGTGTTTTAATCGATTTTGATAAAAAGAAGTACGATTAGATAATATTTATATCGATAATCGAGCGGGACCTAGGTTTCTGGTATAAAGGTACATTTTTCGCCGAAACGGTTAGGCCGATATGATCCAAATTTTTGACACGCGTTGTTTCATAGTTCAGCCTAATTTACACCGTTCAATTATCGATGTAAATGTTATCAAATCGTATTTAATTTTATCAAAATCGATTAAAACACTGCTTTTTCGGAAATTTACTGTCTTCTTTACCCTAGAAAACAGTACCCTATGGTTGTGACCGAGGTAACCGCGTCTCCGGTCATCCGCAAATTTGAATGTCGTTTTCTCTTCTAGAAAGTTGTCAGTTGTATTTCCTTATATTTTTTTACAGTTTAATCGCGTTCTTTTTACTAAGTTCGTGTCGTCGAACTTTTTTTGTGAGAAAAAAAGAAATTTTGAAAAAAAAAAAGATTCCATTGTTTTTTTTTTTAAAAAAAATTTTTTTTAAAGTGCTTTTTTTTCATTTTTTGACGTTCCAAACCCCTTAAAAAGACATCGTACAGTCGTTCTTTTTCGTGGTGGAGGACAACATGTAGATACATTCTTTATAATCTTCAAACTATTTAGTATTAAAAATAAAAAAACATAATTTTTTAAATTATATATAGTCAGTCATTGATAACCGACGTGGCGCTTAGCGTGTTACGTACTGATATATGGACGCACACACGTAGCGAAAGGGTTGAACTAAAAATATTATACACAGGACAAATAGTAAAGTGTTCAATCGAGGGAGAAAAAGGGGAGGAAACGTGGCAGTAGCAGAGAGAAAAGAGGGGTAGCGGTGGAATAAAGTAGAAATCGTTGTAAACTTACCCTTGTGTGTTGTTGCGTGATAAGCTCGTGCTGGTGTAGGCGGTCCGGGGGTGGCGGGAGTGGCCGCGACGTAACTGCCCCCGCCACCCCCCGGGAATAAAGAGTATAGCCCGTAACGACTCACACCTGTAAGATCATTAAAGAAAAGAATTAATTTTTTTCAATCAGTTGCATATAGTTTGTGAACAAAATTTATGTATTTCAATCGAGGAAAGTATCAAAAGAAAATTGACAATGTTATTGTAAAGTATTTTTCAAAAGGTTCTTAGGGATTTGGATTTTTATAAACAAAATGTAGCAATCCGCATAGTCGTAATAGACACTTAAACGACTCCATCTTTCTCGTTCATATGTACTTTTACTTAAAATAAAATAACTCATACCATAGCATCAGTGTTTTTTAAAGAAACAAAGAAGAAAACTTTCCAGATTTTCCCTGGTTCATACTAGTTTTAAAGGCACTGGGTCCCTTTTAATAGCCAAATCTTTCAGTCACAAAATGTGAAACGCAAAAACATACTAACATTTTAAAAATATCATAGAAAAAGATAATGATTTAGGACATAAATCATACTTAGAGTGTGTGTGTACAGATTATTTATGTCCATTTTAAATTTCAGTAAAAAATTAGTTTCAATATTTAATTATGTGAATAAATATTTTATTATTTGTTTTAATACCCAATGAGAGCGAAGTAAATGTAATAATACATTGTAAAAATTAGAATTTGATAAAGTACAGTAATTTGAAATTCTGTTACCTAGTGAACAAAAAATTACAATTTGACCGCTACGTAAGATGAACCGTCATCGAATACAAAGTATACATTGTTTACTAATCTGTGTTAATTCTATAATTATACACTGTCAATCATTACAACTTAAACAGTTCTATTATAGTTATCTTTTTTGAAATATTTCGTTGATATGAATCGACATTAGCAAACAATTATTTTAGATACAGTAAATTAAGTAATCGTTAATACAAACAACATTAATCCTTAGAAATAATTAAATAAATTTCCTTGTATGCATAACAATCTATGCAATGAAATATAAATGATCTGAATTTCAATACTAATATAAAATGTAATCCACGTATATGAAAATTATATGTATTAAACAAAGTAAGACTAATGACAAACAATTCTAAATGTATTATAAGATATGATATACTAAGGAAAGGACAATTATCCGCTTTAAAAGAAAAGTACGATTTAACGAGAAAAACATTCGAGAGGTTTCCTGGTTTAAACGGTCATTATAATACAAATTCAGATTGAATTACAATGAAACACACTTTTGTGAGAAAATACGAATTTATAAAATAAAAGCGGTGAACGATTACTCGCAATAATACTAAAGGAATAAAATTAAAAAAGGTAGACTCCATAATTACTGTTTTAATTGAGAATTAAAATTTGTTTTTTTTTTTTAAAGAATATGTATCAATTAAACAAAAACGTTTAGAGGAGGGTTTATATTGACTGTAAAGAAAAAATTAATAAAAAAAAAAGTTTTGCCGAAACCCGGGATTGAACCGGGGACATTTAGATCTTCAGTCTAACGCTCTCCCAACTGAGCTATTTCGGCTGTTGAGAAAGAACACACTGCTGGATATTTTGTAGTAAATTCAACACAAATTACATGTTCTAAATATCCTATCAATATTATTGTGTTAATTTAACATATCATGATTGCGTAAATTGATAACACAAGTTCTATGTTGAATAGATTAACACAAAAAGTTGATAACTGGAACATTTTTTAAAGTCAGTTTTACAAACTTGTAGTGTTACACATGTGTTAAATGTATATTTTTTTTATGTAATATTAATACGTAACCATTCGTTAAATAATAACATACATATCTCGTTAAAAACTAACACAAATAGTCAGTAACCTTAACATAATTGTTATGTTAATTACCTACAGTGTTTTATCATTACAGAACTTCTAAATAACATTAAAATTAAATAAAATAAATTAAGAAATATCTATTTACCTGATAAAATAGAGATAATCGTTTTTTCTTTAATATAATTACGTATGAATTAAATGACAATATGAATAAAATACAAACCGACACAATTTTTGTATAAAAACGTACACAAATTAAATGTGCAATATTTGTAATAATTGCAAATAATACGTGACGTTTTTTTTATATTAAACCGACGCAGACAATGTGTAACAAATTCACGAGACACTAAATATAAATGTTGAGAATCTAATCCACTGTAGTTATGTGTTAATTTCCAGATGACATTCAAATGTGTTTTATTTATAACTTTTCACTATTGTAACACAAAATTTTTGTTGGGAGCAGATAATACATCGAACTTCAGTTAAGTTTACACTCAGCTGTGTGAAATGATCAACACAAAGCATTTAACCAATGAATTTTTAAACACATGAACCCAAAATTTTCAACTGTGTAGCTTACACATGCATATAATGATTGTAAGAATTCTTTATTCGTAAAATGCGATTTGAGAAAAAAAAAACGAAAAAAAAAGTTTTGCCGAAACCCGGGATTGAACCGGGGACATTTAGATCTTCAGTCTAACGCTCTCCCAACTGAGCTATTTCGGCACATGCTAATCATCGCATTGCAGACGAAATTGTAGTACATCTACAATTCAACACTTTTTGCTTGTATTTTTATAAGTAAATTTCTTTCTTTCTTTGCTTACAATACGCAATAGTTCAAGTAATAAAATATTGAAATTGTTCTTATATTTATTTTTTACACATATCTTTCTTTTTTAAATTAATTATGTTATTTGTTTTCTTTCTTTTTTTTGTTGTTGTAATTAGACACTTATTAAGGATAAAGATTATGTTGAAAATTAATAATATTGGGTGTTCTCCTATCAAACTATTTAATTTATTATTTCTGTTCAATGTTTTCAGACGAACTGTTTGTGCCAGTCTTCGTAACCACCAAAATAAAAAAATGCATGCAAAGTCATTAAAAAAAAATATTAAACTTTCATCATTTTAAATGATTAAACAAAAATTTACTTTGAATGGTAGATATACTTTTTTAGATGCTGTTTTCAGACTTAAAATTGAAATATAAAAAAATAATGTAGAATTTTAATACTTCGGCTAAAAAATTACTAATTTGTAGTATCGAAATATTTGCTATATGATAAATTCTCTGTTGCTTCTCGTTCGAAAGTATGAATTATTAGTCGTGTGCTACACGATCGTACATGAATGTATAACGAGCGTTGTAAATTAACATTAACATTTGTTTTCCGAATTACGACTCGTGTTGCGCGTGACAGGATTTTCGTGACTTCCATGCGAAAACTATATAGGTATTACAGTTTATGGCATAAATAGTTTATAATTTCAAAATTTAATAAATAAATTTTGTCAACTAATTTGCTGTTGTTTACGTTACTTTCAAATATCAACTTATGATATTATTATGATATTATTATGAATTGGTTAACTTTCCCGAATCGTGTCGTAGGTGCGTCTCTACTTGTGTCCACCATGCGGTATTTCGTTGTTTTTTGTTTGAGATTCGATGTACAGTAACAGTTCATAGTACGCATATTTCACGGGGTAACTCTATTGTATTCTGTTTATTGTATTTCTAATATCTCATCATATTAAATTGTTAAATGTTAATCTGTTGGGTTTCACTGTCCCAAATCTAACAAAGTGTAATTTCAAATAGAAAATAATGTGAACAAAACTAGAGAATGTGTTATTTTAGTTAACACACTGTAATATTGTATGCAACTCACAAATATTATTACAAACTATTTTAATTGCACGTCTGTTAAACATACTATTACACAGAAAAAATATAAATTAAGAAATAAAATTCATAAATCAGTTACAAAATTCGTTTCTTCGTAATACGAAATATTAACAAATCTAATATTTCTTATTTAAAATGTTCATTATTTGTGAATGTTTCTTTGTTGAAAAATATTCTGAAACATTAAAACCGTTATATTTATCATCCAATTACACTGTAACGGAATCATCAAAATAAACACTAGGTACTATAATTCTTTCGTATCGATCAAATTTACTACGACAGAAGTCTATTATAGATAAGGCTCTATACTATCATAAAAGGAGTTCCATTTCTGAATGTTTGATAGGAAAATATTAGCTCCTTTGATAAGACATGACTGTAATTATTGTTGTATTTCTGTTTGAACAGATTTCATTCCTTACTCATATATGATTACTTTACAATAAGGTTCTTAAACAATTCAAAATATTATTACGCATGCGATTTTAGCAACTATTCGTTTTAATAGTAACTTTCGTTATTTTAATTGACAAATATCTAAATTGAAGGTGTTTAGTCATTTTCATTCATATTTCAATAAACAATGAAATTGAAAATTTCTTTCAATATATTTCTTTATTTCATGCTATATCACACTAAATACCAATACATAATTTAATAAGTCACAAAAAAGTTGTAGTCAACATTTACAAAAATCAAAAGAATTTTATCCTTATCGGTCTTTGAACTGAGAATAAAAAGTCCTAGCAGTGATAACTAGTACAAATAATCAGTTATTTTCCGCCCGTTCGTCGTTTTACGAACTGATCACCTCCTCAGTCAACTACTTTACCGGGTTAAACTATTATACCTTTCAAAGAGCAATCAATCATAAAAAGACTGCGTCAATGGACGTATTATTCGGGAAATTACGCGAAAATTTACAGTAACTTAAAAATTCAATTGTATTTATTAAATCCTTAAATAAATAACTAACAATAATAGAAATATTTTTTGTCCCACGCAAATAAGTCAAAATCGACAAGATTTAAAGAAAGTAAAAAACATACCTTGATTGTGAGCCGGTGCAGGGGTAGCGGCTAGGGGTGGTATGCCCTGAGACTGACTTGTGACCTGATTGGTTTGCGCAGGTGCTAAGGGCCATAGGGTTGCTGCCGCGGCAGGGCCGGACGCTTGTTGGGCCCGGGCACCCGTGTCGCCCACGGGACGATCCCCAGTCCCACTTTGGGCCACGGGAGGGACCAACATCGAACCTCCCCCTCCCGAGGCTGAAATCACAATGAACGACGACATTAGTCAAATTAATTGTCTAATTTCACGCTGAGGACAGTGTATAAAGTATTCTCAAATTATAGAAACAAATTGCATCAAGATAAAGAGTTTCCTAAAGAAAAGCTTCACGATGTTGTGTTTTTAATAAAATACGAATAGTATGGAATATACAGGATGCAAACAAAAGTTGCATGGTATCTAGGGGGACATACAGTGATGTAATCTGTTTTTTATTAATTTAATTTTTTATTGAGATATTATAGTCACCTCCAGTTTTTTAAATGGAATATCTAATATTTTGTTTTCGAATTCGGATAAATCATCAAATTTTACGTAAAAAGTATTACATGAAATGGGACTTCAAATGAATAATTACTGAGATATCTTCAAATTAATAATCGTCTATTAGGAAATACGCTTAGTCAACGTGATTCTTAGCACGACTTCATTCACGTCGGTAGGTCATGTCTGTAAACAAGCTGCCTGTTAAATATTAATAATCATCAACACGAAATGCCTATTTTGTATCTCGGTAAGCGTTAAAGTCGTATTGAGAAAGGTGCTACATTTTTATTACGACGTTCAGTAACAGTGAAACAACGTTATGATAATTGTATATGGTGCGTGTGAAGAAAATTCTACAAGAGCTAAGATTTTGTACCAAGCTAAGTATCCTGATCGAAATCGACCATCGCATTCTACCTTCTAAAGGCTTGGTCGAAGACTCAAAGAACATGGCAATTTTAATGTACAGAAACGTAAAAAAAAAATATATATATGTTGAATTGAGTAACCTCCTCCTTTTCGAAGTCGGTTAAAAAGGTACCACAAAGTTGTGAATAATGAAGGATGTCGTACTTCAACATTAGCAGTTATTGCCCATAAACTTCTTTTATACAGTGGGTGTAGAATGTATTCGTACACCGATCAATTTCCCAAAAAACTTTTGTGTGAAATTGTAGTTTCTTAACTTCTCTTTTTGTAATCAATGATATTTTACATATTCTCGGAAGTCCCTAAGATTGATATAATCCAAACAACATTGACTAGTTAATATAATTTGTGAAATTAACAAACAAAAATGCGAAAAGTTGGTAAAAGTATTTCTATACTCGTTTTGCGGTAAGTATTTATACGATTCTTATGACGAACTATTTACAGCAGAGTTTGTAACGTAAACACATCAGTTTATTGCTCCGTACGAATTAGAAAACATCATATTTCCAGTAAAGTACTTTTAAACAGTTGTGTGATTATTTATTGCTTTAACATTTCTATCAATTAATTGTTTTTTTCTCGTTACTTTCGCAACTTACATAAATAGCTATTTTTTTTGTAATCTATCTATTCTAGAGATTTCCGAGAATATGTAGAATGTCATTGTTTATACAAAATAAGTTAATAAATTACAATTTTACACAGGTTTTTTGGAAATTGATCGGTGTACGAATACTTTCTACGCCCACTGTAAATATCTCAATAATTTTTCATTTGAAGTCCCACTTCATGTTCATCCGAATTCGAAAAAAAATATTAGACATTCCATTTAAAAAACCGAAGGTAACCCTAATATCTCAATAAAAAAGTAAGGTAATGAAAAACAGATTACAGCACTGTATGTCCCCCTAGATACCATGCAACTTTTGTTTGAAACATTTTGTCGTACAACAAATACCTTACAATTTATTTGAGGTCGTCACGTTATAAGACTCATCCTGTATATCCGATTATTCTATTTTTAATTACATTGGTTGTGTACTTTTCGAGAAATGTAACCAAAAATAAAATCAATTTGTATACAAATTGTACAGTGTTGAGCCTCCATAAGTAATTACGCGTGTCGCTGTACATGGGATATCTCTCGTCAGAATAATGATACAGCTGAGGAAACAGATTCGGATATGTCTTTAATCATAGTAAGTTACGGGACTACGTTTCCACGGAAACGGAACGGAAACAGAGAGAAAGAGTGAGCAGAACAAAAACCGGAAAACACGCTAGAGCACATTGGAAACGAAGAAACGGCAAAGTGTACGAACTCGGTGTGCCCACGTGCAAAAACCGAGAAGGTAGAAACAATAGACAGAGCTCGAGATAGAATACAGAGCGTTCTCAATGAGTTGAACGAAGCAAGGGTCCTCCATTTCCTAGCGAGGGCGAGTCACCGAAGGGATGGCCACGGAGGGATCAACGTTGAGGAGTATCAATGGAGGAGGGGTAGCAACAGGTCGACAAACATAATGTAGTCTCTTAGAAACACATATGCAGCCACGCACGTACATAGAATCGTCTCAACGTCAACGTCACATGCAGAGATCTCTGCTTTCGTGACTGTTATCATGTATAATGGAGGGGAAGTCTGACTTTTACAACTCTCTATGTTTCTGTACCCAAAACTTTTTCTTAACTCTTCCATCTTGCCATATCTTTCTTCTCTCGTCTATATTGGCCCATGTCGTATCAGAAAATCATGTAAATTAGTATAATAACTTCTAAATCTCAGACGTCAACGCCATCCAATTATTCACTAACGTTTTTAACATTTCCGACCTGTCAGAAAATAATTTGAAAAAACCAATTATATGGTATAAGAAAGCATTGTAAATAATGGATTCTAGATGAAATTCATTGAAACTGTTAATATATTATATCAAGATGTAATCGATAATTGTTTTGCAATCGATGAGGAACAATAGAACCAACTTTATTTTTGACACACTTCAAGGGTTTCTGTTGGAAGTTTTTTAGTAAACAAGGCATATCTTCGTTAACTGATACAATGGCACGCGGTAGCTACTTTAGAGAACAAGAGCAAGGTACAATTTTAGCATACAGAGAGCAAGAATTGAGAATACGTGAAATTGCACGTAAACTCGAGCGATCTTATAAAGTTGTATTGAATTTTTTACATGATCGTACTAAATATGGGAAAAATAAGAAAGGGGGACCTAAGAGGAAGTTATCTCCTCGTACTGAAAGGCAAATTGTTAAGGTTGCGAACAAAACGTTGCGAAGAAATTGTGAAGGATTGTGATCTCGGCGTTTCTCGTTGGACTGTCCAATGTGTCCTTAAACGTAATTCAAACATTAAAAAACAAAACATGATGTCCGCACCTACACTTTTGCAACGTCACAAAATAGCCAGGCTTGAATACGCACGAGAGAACACGAACAGAAATTGAAATAATGTAAGTTAAGTTTAGACATTCTTAAATCAAGACTTCAGCTTCATATTCAATATTTCTTACTTAATTTAGATTATTTTCTCTGACGAAAAAAAATTCAATTTGGACAGTCCAGATGGACTTAATTCATACTGGAGAGACCTTCGTAAAGAACCAAAATACTTTTCGAAACGTAATTTTGGTGGAGGAACATTTATCGTGTGTAATAATAGTACATTGAGTCATAAATGTTCTTAGACGTTTCTTTTCGAAGTAGAGTTTTTGGTTTTACAGAAATTTATTATAAAAATGGACTGGATTCTATAGAAAAATGACATATGGTAACACTGGTCCCATTGCCAAACAGAAAGTATCTTCAACAATTTTTGTATTGATTTGTGTATGTTACCTTTGTTTTGCTTTACATCTTAGAAGAAGTTTATTAGAAATTCATGAATTTTTTTGTAGTAACCGCTATCATAGCGGCGCTATACATAGGACGTTACAGACGTGCACAGACGCTAAACTGCAGGCAACAATCGAAGTTTTTGCAACGGCCGAGGTTACCAATCAGCCGCGTGAGACCTCCTATCTGCATATAACAAGCTCTCCGCTATTCAGGCGACGCAACGGCGATTCTTATGCTAAGACTAATGAGACTAAGGTTTTATGCTTCCTCCTCTACTAATCTATTCCATACTAAATTACCGTCCGCGCCATACTTTGGCAAAATTCAACGAACAGAGTTCACCTTCAAGAACAGACACAATTGATCGAGAGAATACAACGAGAGAGTTACCACTTTAGGTATGGATGTGTGTACGTATGTTGGCCTCTTAGACGGAGAGCCACAGCCAAAAAAAGTCTCTGAATTTACTAAGCCTAGTTTTTTTGTAGTTTATTACAGTGGTTGTGTACACAAACATACTGGGGTCAGTCAAGGGAAACTGAGAACAGGTGTCAAAAAAAAAAAAAAAAATCAAATTCATATTTTTCTTTTTATCTCTTTCGGAGAAGAGATAATGCCTAAATTATTAAAATATTATTTGTAATGTATATTCTGTAAATATATAATATAATCTAGATTGTTAAATAACAATAAAGAAAGAAGCAAGCCGTCAACTGCGATGTCGAGCGCGCGCGAATTGCACAGTATTTATTTCTTTGTACATACATTGTGGCCGACTGACCAGCTCCGTCCCCACATTTAGCTGACTGACTGTCATAACTATCATTTATATGCAATATACTATTTGTATAACAATTTTTAGCCTTAGTAAATTCATTTGATTACCTTCCCAGGTACGACAGCTTCGACAGCGTACCTGAGACACCTGTTCTCAGTTTCGCTTGACTGACCGCAGTATGTTTGTGTACACAACCACTGTAATAAACTACAAAAAGACTAGGCTTAGTAAATTCAGAGACTTTTTTTGGCCCTGGCTCTTGGACTATCTATTTAGGTTCGTATCTCAAAAGTGGTTTACTAGAAAAATATCCAATTTACTATAGCGACTTATACACATGAGGCACTGATCTCATTTAATTGTTATACATTTCTGAATTATATTTTTTACTTTCTAAAGTAGCGTTACGTTGAAAATGGAAGTTTTATCCGAAAGATTTAACTACTACGCTAATAGAAAGTTCTGTAACAAAATTGCCTGATTTTTCCATTCACGTGCGTAAATAGGTTACAAGTTCATGTTTTCATATTTTCGAATGATATCAATTAATGTTTGGTCGATGACTGGAATGCATCCATGGATTCACAGAATGTTGGCAACGCTTGTTTCATCCTGAAACTATAATTTCTCGAGACATCGTACCTT